TAAAACATAAAACTATGGGCTTGTCAGGATATTTCAGTAAAATGAATGTGAAAAAGATAAATGCTGCACTGGGGTGAGCATGCCTGACACAGTTACTTAGCAAGAACAAAGACTTTTTTTTTTAGTGATGTTATCTTTATTGAAATTCCAAAAACTTGTTACAGAACACACATAAATTCTCTTCCTTCACATTCAACCACTGACTAAGAAGAAATGTAAGGGGAAAAAAAGCACTTACTTCAGAAGAATGATTTGATCTAGAACCATTAAAAAATTCTCAATTGAGATTAATTTCCTTAAAATTTGATACAGCTGCATTTTCCATTCTTTTATTAAGAAAATTGTTAACATAATTTTTGATCATTAGTTTACAACAAAGCCTTATAATCCTCAACTAAAATAATAAATTAAAATCCATATAGTATACAGTGTGTGCACAGACACTGGCTAATTGTGGCAGGGTCTCTTAAAAATCAGAATGAGCTGTCATTTCATTTTTCAGAGGAGAGAACAAAGAATATTCTAGAAAATTACTTGGAGAAGAAGGGGAGGGCCAAGATTAATATGATTAATATGGTGGTTACCCATACTTAATGCAGATGAACACAGGCTTTTTATATGGTTCTATCAAATCTCTTTCATGCAATTTGGTACTTATTGTATAATATGACAATCTACCTTTTAAAATTAAGAGGGAATATCATGCAGTTAAATTAAAATGCAAAGCTACTTTTAAAAAGATCTTTTAAAGACTTTTTTTAGTCATGTAGGAACTGTTTGCACACGCTTGAAGTATCTATTGATTCAGAAATGGCTAAACAAATTGTGGTACGTGAATGTACTGGGATATTACTATGCCATAAGAAATTATGAATATGCAGATTTCAGAGAAGCAGAGAAAGATACATGAAGTGATGGAGAATGAAATAAAAACCAGGAAATCCATATACACAATGACTAGAACAATGAAAATGGAAAGAACAAACAGACCCATATTGACAGGCCACATCCAAGGATGGGAAGGTCTGAGGCTTCTCCCCTCTCCACCCCCATCCCCACCTCCCACCATCGCATTGTCTCTACTATGGAACTCAGTCAGAAAGACTAAGTGACTTGTCCAGGGTTAGTAAGCATCTGAGGTAGCATTTGAGAACAACAGAAAATGGAATATTGTGTATTTATAATGACTAAATTTGACCCTAGAGAAGAGATGAGAAAATACATCGCTTTTCATTCTTTGCATAGGTGGGTATGTAATGATGCTCATGCTATCAGATATGATTTATGTGCTAATTGTCTTTGCTGAACTACCTTTATTCCATCATTTTTTTTTTTTACAAAGGATAGGGAGGAGAGAGGAGAGGAGAGGATATATTTGGAAATAAAAGTGAGGTAAAAACAAAAGATAGCAACAGAAGTTAAAAACTATCAAATTTAAAATACCAAAGAAAAACAAAAGCTCTTGTGTTTTAAACCAAAAGAGCAATGGTAGAATCTCTTGTCCTATAATGGGGAAGGAGCACCTCAGCTGAGGAATCTAGCTAAGGCTAGAAACTGGATGCAGAGAGAAGATCCACCAATTTGTGTCCAATAGCATTGGGTCTGGCAGTGACGAGTGGCAAATAGAGGATGAGCAGAGCAGCGCTGACTGATGATCTCATCAGACCAGCATGGAGCAATGTTTGGCAGAAACAACTTGCCAGGCAACAGCTAAACATCTGTAATGCTCTGGAGAGGGAGAGGGTCCCACAAATGTAGTGAGAACTCTACATGGAAAGAAAGGGGGCTATCCTAGAGCATGGCTCGAAGGGAGGCAGTATAGATATCTCTGGCCCTCTTCTCCCCCGCCTTCTTCCAAGGGAGTCTTTCACTTCTGCTAGGATGGGAAGCAGGAGATGAAGTCCACCACTCTGTTCTCCACAGAGAGATGGTATCAAGCAGATTAATTATGTATTATTTATTAATTAATTAACTAAAATCAATTACTGTTAGCCTGAGAGATATGATTGAGTTCCACCTAACTTTTGATCTTTGTCATGGGGGGGGCTCTATATCTAAGGCTTGACCCCTTTCCCACCAAACACTAGTTCCACAATGAACACACATAGACAATAACAAAGAAAACCATTTATCCAAATCATAGCAAAACAAAAATGAGAGAAGGTATACATAGGAGAATACAGATGATATATGCAGCAATACAGAGTGAAGGAGATCTCTCATTTGGAGCAAAATAACTCAATTCCCTTTAAAGTCCTGGATCTCATCCAAGAGGAAACTCCCAGAAGTCTCTGGAGAAGTAAACTGGGAATAGGACATGATGGAGACTGCACACTTCTCTTATGTCTTCCCAGAGCCTTTTCCTTCAGCAACCTGAAGTGGGGTTGGCCTCTTCCTTCTTCAGTCTTGAAACGAAAGGTAAATAATGAATACAGTGAGTGAATCGTTTTTATAAAAGGACACAGAACAAGAAATTAAAAAAACTAATAAGCAAAATAAGTTCAAAAGGAGGACAGGAAGGGGGATTCCACCTGATTACTTAAGCAAGAGGAAAAAAGAAAGGAAGAATTAAATAATTATTAATTATTTATTAATTCTAACTAGTCATTAATTTTAAAACTAATTACCCTTTTTATTTAAAAGCAAGAAAGAAAAAGGAACTAATTAAACAGAACTCCAAAATCAGGGAAAGAAGTAACAAATGGGTGGTATGGGGACTAGAGAGTGAAGCAAAGAGAGTCTGTAAGAACAGGATTGCCTTAAAAATAGATTATGCTAAAATAACTGAAGATATGATACCGTGTTTACAGAGGAAGAGAGAAAAAAAATCCTAATATTAGAGACAAATGGAGGAAAATGTAAACTTAACTCTCATAGCTTTAAATGTGAATGGATTAAACAATCCAATAAAATAAAAAAGAGTGACAGCTTAGACAACAAAAATCAAAACTCCACAATCTATTGGTTACAAGAAACCTAAAAAACAAAGACATACACAGAATAAAAATGAGGGGCTTGAAAAAAATTTATCATACATCAAGCAACTTCCAAAAAAAGAAGCAGGAGTCACAATCATTCTATCAGACAAACCAAAACAAATATTCAAAATATAAAAAGGATAAAAAAGGAAACTATTAAGCACCTACCATGTGCCAAGAACTATGCTAAGCACTACAAACACAAGTATGAAAAGGAAAATCAGTCCCTACCCTCAAGAAGCTTACAATATAATGAGGGAAGACATCAAAAAAGAAAAACAAAAACCCAGAAAGAGTTACCTGGTGCAGGGGCATTGTAGAGAAGCAAAAGAAGTCCAAAATGAGTGTTGCTAGAGAAGTAAAAGAAAGTCTGAAATCAGTACAGCTGGTGAGAAATGAGGAAGAAACATCTGAAGAGATGTCAGTCCCATTCTCCTGCTTAAATGAAAGAGTTATGGCTCCATCCTCCAAACAGAGGGACAGAGGATACTGATGAGGTGTGAGTAACAAAACTGATTCAATCTTGCAAGATGATGAGATTTCTCAATTAAAAGTTTACAAGGACAGAATGGAGAAGTCAAAGAAGTCCAAAAGAAGTGCTGCTGAAGAAGTCAAAAAAGTTCAAAATAAGTGCAGCTGGGTGGGAAGTGAGGGGATGTCTGAGATAACAATGTAGTAAGAAAGAAATTGCTGGAGAAACCAGAGCTGAATGACTTACAATGTCTTCTAAATGGCACTACTAAAGAATATACATATTTCTCAGCACCATATGGAGCTTTTATAAACATTGACTCTATTCATAGAGATATTACAAACAATGTACGAAATCAGAAATAATGAATATATCCTTTATGGATCATAACTCAATAAAAATAGTAACCACTTCAGGGAATGCAAGTATAAATGCAGACCCAGATGGAGACTTAACCATAAAATCCTAAATGACTGGTTCAAAGAGCAAATCATAGAAGCAATTAATAATTATGTGATAGAAAATTATGTTGATGAAACAACATGCCAAAGAGGAAAATCATACCTCTGTTAACACTCATTAACAAAATAGAAAAAAGAAAGATTTGATGAACTGAATATTCATTTTTAATATTTATGTATTTGTTATTATTATTTTATTTTTCCAATTACATGTAAAAACAATTTTTAACATTTTTAAAAATTTTGAGTTCCAAATTCTCTCCCTCCCTCCCCTACCGCTCTCTGAAACAGCAAAGTAATTTGATTGTATGTTATATGTGTACAGTCATACAAAACATATTTCCATATTAGTCATGTCATGTTGTGAAAGAAAACACAGAGAAAAAAAAACACTAAAAAATAGAGAAAGTGAAAAAAAGGATCCTTTGATCTGCATTCAGACTCCATCAGTTCTTTATGTGGAGGTAGACAGCATTTTTCATCCTAAGTTCTTTGGAATCATCTTGGATCTTTGCGTTGCTGAGAATAGTTAAGTCATTCACAGTTGATCATTGTACAATATTGCTGTTATTGTGTACATTGTTCTCCTGGTTCTGCTCACTTCATTCTTCATCAATTCATACAAGTCTTTTCAGGTTTTTCTGAAAGTATCCTGCTCATCATTTTTTTT